CAGCAGCTCACTGACCTGAGCCCGATTGTTTGGATCTTTATTATTAAAGACATGATATCTGTCTCCACAATCATGAATCAGTTTTTGTACAAATTCATCACAATCTTCTTCTATGTAACTCTCAAATGTTTGACCTTTCAGTTCATCTTTCCTGGTAAATGTAACGATGATGAAATGTTGTGAATTTTTCCCAAAGCATTTCTTGATCAGTTCAACAGTATATTTTTCTTCGTTTGTAAACCGGCCGATTGATAGCACCAGTAAGATCACATGAGGTCCAGGAGCCAACATGGTGATGCATTTAACGAGCTCTTGTTCAGCTTCATCATTGGACAGAGTCGTGTCAAACAGACCGGGGGTGTCAACCACAACAACAGGACGTCCATCAACCTCTCCTTCTGCTTTCTCACAGAACTTTGTCACAGACTTCCCGCTGGACTTAGATTTAAAACATTCTTTCCCCAGAATGGTGTTTCCAGTTGCGCTCTTCCCACTGCCAGTCTTCCCAATCAGAACCATCCTGAGACATTCCCTGTTCTGATTTCTATCATCAACACACATGGCCCTTTTTTTTCTTAAATCCAGCATTTCAGCTTTAAGTCTTGTGTTAATGTTTTTCTGTTCTACCACTCTCTCCATCTGAGCTAATATGAACATGTCTTTTGTGAAGGATTTGAGTCCTTTATCTCTCACCTTTTCCACAGCCTGGACCAGCTGTGGGATCTGCTGTTTGTCATTAATGTTGAGAACAACAGATCCTCCTCCACAGCTCTCACAGAGCTCTTGGATGTCCTTCTTGTCTTTTAGAAATTTAACAACAGTTGGATCTGTAGGATCTGAGTCCACGGTGAACAGAATCATGGTGAAGTCATTGACTCGAGAGCTGAATGTGTTCTGGATGGTCTCTAACTCTCCCTTGTCTTCATCAGTGAGGGGAGCCACAGGTAGGACCAGGATGAAGGCATGGACACCCTCAGGATCACAGAGGGAGATACACCTGAGTGATTCCTCCATCACTGCCTCCAGAGGTTTTCCATACAAGGCTGGCAGCTCCACCAGGGAAACCCAACGTCCACACACCTCTCCCTGATGTTTAACACACTCTGATGAGTTAGAGTCTGAATGAAGCTCTGTCTGACCTAAAATGGCCTTGGCTGCTGAAGTCTTCTCTGCTCCTCTCCTCCCACACAGAACCAGGTTTAGAGCTGGCTTGATGAGTTCAGACGTCAGTTGTGTGGTTTCTTCAGTGAGTGTGAGGGATTTTCCTTTATTTTCATTCACAATGTCTTCAATCTTCGCCATTAACTGTTTGTGGTCTTTCTCAAACATGTTGTAGAGTCTTCCTCCACAGTCCCAGAGGAGTTCATTCACACAGGAACTCGTTTGATTGTCATGTGTGTTGATGACCATCGAGTGTTTAAAGGCATTTTGATCAAACAAACTCAGGATGACCTTCAGAGTTCTTCTGTTCTCTTCAGTGAAATCAGAAGGTTTCACTAACAGCAGCAAAACGTTTGGTCCAGGAAGGGAAAGACTCACACAGCTTCTCATCTCTTCAATAATTGCTTTCACAGTCATACTAAACATGTCTGGGGTTTTCACCACTGTTACTGGTTTTCTTTTCCATTCTCCACGAGCCACCTCACATTGCTTGTTCGGGTTGAATTTAAAGAACGTAAAGTGTTTTTTCTGCATGATGAATTGGCAGAGCGTTTTCTTTTTGTCATCACTTTTTCCAAATATCACAATTTTGAGTCCAGGTGCTGTAAATTAACAAAAATACTAAGAGTAAGATACCAGCAAGGACGTTATACAGTACATATATATACATATACACATATATATATACATATACACACATATATATATACATATACACATATACATATACACATATACACATATATATATACACATATACACATATATATGTATGTGTATATATAAACATATATATACACATACATATATATATACATATATATACACACATACATATATATATATATGTACATATATATACATATATATATATATACATACATCTATATACATATACATTAGGGGTGCAACAATACACAAAATTCACGGTTCGATATTTTTTCGATACAAAAAAAAAAGTTCATGCCTTTTTAATTTGTCATTTATTAAATTTTCACGGCACATTCTGCACCACATCTCTGTGCGTTCATCATTTGTTTGAAGCCAGCTCACCTCCTGCAACCACTTTTCCGAGAATAC